ATGTATTTAATGTCAAAAAGACAATTAATAATACAAGCCTCAAATAACATCAAGTATTCAAATGAAAAAGAAAAAAAAATCCCAATAGGTAACTATTGTTCTCAGTAATGTTGATCTCTGTACAGTTAAGTAGGAACGGAAAGAAGAATACAAACCAGATATGTAATTAATGATTTAATTGGCTTATTATTGAAGTTTATAACAGTGCCCTCTTGGCCATTTTGTTGGCCTCATACCACATTAATTTCTTCCATTGTTTACAGTAGTTTTTCAAATCTAATTGAATTTTGATAAATGCACCTGTTTAACGGTAAAATAAATTTCCTGATTATATACCAATAGCATTCTAATAAAATATGCATGTCACAGCAAAATCCACATCTGTTTTTTCTCTTGAGAGCCAAGTAAACACCAAAAGGTAGAATTTTAGTTTTGAAAAAATACAGAAGGTTTATTTCTACATTTTTTGAACTTTTTTTTAATCAGTACTTCACTTTCAACAATATGATTTTTCACATATTACACTAATTTCGATATATATGTGATTGACAGGCATAGTTTTCATTTTCAAATAATACAGCAGCAAGAAAAATCAGGAAAGAAATACCCAATTAAATACTTGGGAACTATTTTTGCAGACCACAATCGATGGGAATTAATTGTGGTATGAAGCCTGTTACTTTGAAATCAACAATTATATTCTCCATTACATGTTTCTTTATTTATAATATCAATATCATCGTAACCTTAATATTTAATCATATTAATTCTTTTGAATCAAATTTGGTAAAAGTTTTCGGTTGACACAAATTGAGCAAGATTTATTTCCCTTTTGTCGCCATATTGGATGTCTATGTGCACAAATTCCTTTATAAATCAGCCAATTTCAGCTTGTTATAATGACGAATAAACTTACAAAAAAGTTGTTTTTCAAAAGATTTAAATTTCTTTAATATAAAAATAAGAAGATTTGGTATGATTTCCAATGAGACAACTTTCCACCAGAGACCAAATGATATAGAAGTTTACAACTATAGGTCACAGTATGGCCTTCAACAATGAACAAAACCCATACCCCATAGTCAGCTATAAATTGCCCAGAAATGAGAAATGTTAAACAATTGAAACAAGAAAACTAATAGCCTGATTTATGTACAAAACAATGCTGAAAAACAAATATTTCTTCAAGCCTTGCTTAATTCATCACCAGAAATCAAGTAAGGATCTCTGATCAGACTTGTTTGTTCCACATTCAGTAGTCAAATAAGAAAATCAACCATTTACACCCTTCAAAATAATGGCCAAGGGAAATAACTCAAAATCAAATTACGTCATACCAAAACCTATCTATTCAGTCCATATATACACTAAAGACTCAACAAACATAAAATCTTCAAAAATAAGTAAGTTTAAGGGTGAAAATATAACTCAATGGTGAAATGTATAATACATTAATAAGTAAATATATAGACTTAACCATGCATAGCAAATTTACATGCACATACAAGTCAGGGATAAACATTAAATAAATAATTCATACATCTTCATGCTAACATAAAATAATGAATACATGATAAAAGATTATTCCCTTTCTGAAAAATGACTTGTATTTGTTCTTCGGATTTTACATATTTATCTGATGTATATGATATCTATAATTACAACAAACAATTTCATTTCTAGTCGAGAAAATTACTAAATCGTACTGCAAATTGATTATATGAAAAATAAAATAATTTATAAATTTCTTCAAACATGTAAAATTCAAGAACTTTTAATATATTAGAATTAACATGATTTTTACAAATAATTCATAATAGAATAAAATGACATCCTTATTTTCATTTTTTCTGGCATTACAACAAAAAGTAAAGAGAATTAAAGAAAAAATAGGACACAACAGCAAGCTTCACTCATCCAGGAAAGGAAGAAATGCCTGGCCATTAAAGAACACAACATGGATAAGAAAGTCTGACTTGTAACAAGCACAAAACTTGATGAGGTTAAACCCAGTTTCCTGGTACTTAAAACTCCTCATTATCAAAACAGACACTACATTGCAAAAGTAAAACACATAATAATCAACTGTTGACACAGATATATGTCTTGCCTGTCAGCATAAAATTCAGAAAAAGACAATCTGATGGAGAGCAACATGGTTTATTAATTCAGTCCATGGACCATTATCTAGTGGGCACAGCCTCAAAATAGTCATCAAACTGATATGAACTGGATAGTAATTCAACTTCATACAAAATATCATTGATCTATCACAAGTAGAACCTATCAAACTAACTTAAGCAGACAACTTAACATTGAAAATTGCTAATTATTTTAAAGTCACTGGACCATGACCTAGGGGACAGGGCCGTCAAACTGATGTGTACCGATGGTAATGCAACTTCATACTAAATATCAATGATCTATCACAAGAAGTTCCTATCAAACTAACTTAAGCAGAAAACTTAACATTGAAAATTGCTTATTAATTCAATGTCACTGGACCATGACTTAGGGGGCAGGGCCTCGAAATAGACGTCAAACAGATATGTACTGATAGTAATGCAACTTCATAGTAAATATCAATGATCTATCACAAGTAGTTCCAATCAAACTAACTTAAGCAGAAAACTTAACAATTGTTGATGCCTGAGCCGTCCTAGTCAGAAATGCAATCCCTATGTCTCGCTTTCCGCGACTTTTGTCGCAGGCGAGACAAAAATCCTGCTCTACTTTTTTTTCAAATCAACCGTATGAATTTTAATGTTTTTCCAATGGTTAACATTTGTACCTGTCCTATTACTATCAAAACAAACAAACAAATTAGAAATTTGAACATTTTACTACATTTGAATGAAAATCTCAATATATAATAAGAGTGATAGTCAGGACACATATTAGCAATCAGAACATTTTTAAGGTCCTTCTAATGAATGAGGAACACTATTTGACCAATGTCAATGGGCATAAATGACGTAATTGAACAATTGCCTCTTACTGTGACGTAATAACATAAGTATTGTGACATTGGAAATGTACCAACAAATTCACAAATAGTAGGAATAATAGAGAGAAAACTGACATACATGATCTCTAAACACAACAGCTCTATTTGGGCTTTTTTTTGGCCTAAGCCATATAGAATATAGATAAGTTTGCTATTGAAATCTTCAAGTTATTCAAAATGCTCTAAATTCCAATATTTAAAATAGTATAACCAGTGGAAGGGGTTGTATGTATACTGTAGACTCTTTAAGCTACAATCCCATTAATCTGATCAATACATATCTGTAGTATCACAACTGTTAATGATTTATTTTGAATAAAAGGGGCTTTGAGTATTCATCAATGAGACAGCAACCCAAAGACACAAATAACCAAGACACCATTGTAAATACTGGAACTGTTGGAAAACATGTTTCTTACATATTGGACATTAACATTCAGATATAACCTATCCCCGTTTAGGCCATAATAATTGGTACAATGTATACCACAAATAATAATGAATCCATGATAGTTTATATGACTCTCTTATATATATCATATGTGAAGGACTATTTCAATGGATTTCATTGGAAAGAGAACCCCTCATCATTATTAAATAATGAACAAAAATCCCCATAAGTTGATTGGAGCTAAGGATAATACCAAAACATTAAGCAATCTCCAAGTAGCATGATAACAACAGTAACTATTATACACAATTTGACAAAAAAATAACACCCACTGAATTAATACTCAGGCACATTGTAGAAACATTTAAACAAGTATAATAAGGCTACTTCTTTAACCTAAAGATTGACACATAACAAATTAATATAAACCTTTCAAATAACATCAGGCTGATGCTTAAAATACCTCATTCAGTCAGAAATCAGTAAGAAGGATAATAACCTATTCAAAATTAAGATTTTTAAACTTAAAAATTCCAATTAAATTTCGTAGAAAAAAAAAGAGATTTAACAGGTCAAGTTTTTTTGTTCATGACATTTCTTGAATAAAAATGATGAAAGTCAAATTACAGTCCTAATAGAACTGCACTGAAAATTAAGATTGAGCAACTTATGCTCACCAAAAAACCAGGTTTGAACTCATGTGTTATAGAGAGGTCACTTTTAGAAAAAATATGTAAATATTTTCAAATGTATATTTGGCTTGTAATTTAATTATTACAAAATTTATGTCTTCACATGTAAAAGTTTTAAAAAGCTTACAAAATGTTCAGAAAAATAGTTGATAGCTTTCATAAAATAAATGAAAAACCTTGCTATGTTCCTAAAAATTGTTATACATCAAAATAAATGCATCTACAGTATAAAACAAATGAATCATGAAATATAACAAAGTACACATATATTACTATTGATTCTTTTGTTCCCTTTTAAACTTATAATATCTTATATTATAATTTTCAGATATTCTAATATCAGCTAAATTGATGTTTTTCTAATATCGTATTTGATTTTTTTTTCCACGATTACTAAATTAAAAAATACAATTAGAATCCTGCATCAGATTTAAATGCATGCATCTTTTAAAATTGATCACACAAAAATTACTAAGGTGTGGCCTACAATTAAGTAATGTACTAAATATCAATAGAATGCATATACACAGTAAAGACCAGTAATTGTGTTTGGTTAACATTAATAACACAGACTTAGGGAATGGACAACATTTCATGTTGGCTATAAACAAACTTACAATATGAAAAAAACAACAACATATAGTTTCACTTCTATAATAATTAATAAACAATATTAATTTTGCATAGCTTTTCTTTACATACACCTATAAATTACTTACATATAAATGATAACAGATTTCAGATGAAAATTAATTAGTTAGAGAGTGCTTCATTTACAGCACTATCAATTGAAATTTATATGTAACAACCATATGGTATCTATGTTAAAAACTGTACCAATACTGTTGATTGATTGATTGATTGTTGGTTGCTTTACGCCGCATTAGCACAACAAGGCTATATCGCGGCGATCCAATACTGTTGAGTATTTATATCAGATTTCAAGAGAAGTTTTGTGGAACAGGTGATTTCCTTAGCTTATGTTTTTAATTTCAATTTCAACTGCTTCAATGCAAAAATCTATAAAACCTATCATTAAATATTGTAGAAATCACAGCATTTTCAGAATATTGAAAAAATGAAAGACGAACAGGTTGTGACCTACAAATATTTGTTTTCCTTTAATTTGAAAACTCAGTTTTATAACAAATATTCAGGAAAAATACACCTCAACTGTACATCAAAACAGGGGAAAACTATGCTTTGGTCCCCTTTTAGCATTTTTCAAAAATTATAAAACCTTAAAGGTGACTGGTAGCCTAAGGCTCCTAAAACATTTTCAGAGTGGTGGTATGTTTACAAACAAGTGTCTAGCTGACTTCTTTTATTTCTAATTAATAATACTAGGATCTATAGGGGTTTTTTCAAGCTTTTTTAATGTTAAAAACAGGAATTCTCTTAGCTTCCATGAAAAAACAAATCTAAAAGCTTAAAAGTATCCCCCTACCTTTCCATTAAAAGATTACATGCACTCCATTTTTCTTCATTCAGGAATGAAGTAAGCAAAATATGTTAGAGCTATAATACTAAATGCAAATTTCCACACTGGTGGAATAAAATCATAAATAATAAGTGCTGAATTTATCAATCTGATTAAGAAAACCGACCCTCTGTCCACACTTTGCTTACAAAGATCTGACACTGCCATGTTAAACTTTCTGTTTTTCTTTTCTGGATTCTAAGGTTTTGTTGTACATTGTAATAATAAACGCCTTCAAAAATTTGAAGTCTGAAATTTTATTGGTTGATATAATAATTTAAGAAAACAGAAATTTCAGATTACTTGTAAGCAAAGTGTGGGTACAGGTTCTGTATTTTTTAACAGATTGAGCATATTTATGATTTTGCAACACATATTTTGCAGTTTCACAATAAAATATCTTTTAACAAATTTATCTGTGGTGTACGTGTAATTGAAATTTTTTCTATGTCCCATTACATAATTATTCTGGTACACAACATAACACAATTAGTATTTTGCTTACTGTGAATTCATTATAATTTGTTGGATACCAACTTTCTTGAATTTTGTGGGTATAAGCTAGGGAACCACGAATTTAAATGTTCAATGAAGTACAAAATCTGTATGGGCTAATAAACAAACTTTAGAACACCACATCAAAAATCCACGAAAATACAATTTTTCCTCCGTCCACGAAAATTGGTACCCAAAATAATAAATGAATCCAGAGTAGCTTAAAACCCCAATTATATTTGTCCAGTAATTACCCTCTTCATAGAGAATAATACCACAATATACCTGAACAGTTAACATGCAAATTCATCTTCACACATACATCATGTATCTTTGCCAAATCAAGCTGACTAATTAAAAACAATGACAACCCACATGTATCTAGTACTGTTTTCTAACTCTCTGTGGTAATACAGTGTCCTGTGCATGTTTCAAGAATGACAGAAGTCCCAATCCTTTAGTTTTCCTTTTGAAATAATTGCTGACCACGTCGGTGGCATCTTCAGATTTTGTTCGGTTTTCTGTCATGGTTGGTAAAACATTTTCATTTGCAGATAAAGACACAAAAAAAGCAAATGGTACTATCCAGAGACAAATTGTGAAGAAAGCCATCACCTACAAAACATTTGAACAGAATAGCTATATTATATGCATATATACTGTAAAAAAAAAATTTGATTTTCAAAGAAAATTGTATAAGGCTTGTTATTTATCTGTATGAGAGATATCTCCAATTACATACATCTACATCAGAGTTTTTTCCTATGATACATCTCTACATCAATTATCTCCCTTTGAAAACATCTGCATAAAAAAAATCTTTATAGAAACTGTACTAGGAATAAAATTTTGTATGCCAGACGCATGTTTTGTCTAAAAAGACTCAACAGTGACGCTTGAATCATAAAAGTTTTAAAAGGCCAATCAAAGAATGAGGTTGAAGTTAATTGAGGACCCAAAATTCTGAAAAATTTTGCCAAATATAGCTACAATGAAGTAGGGGATTGGGTGTGACAGAGGTAAAGAGTATACCATTTCCCTCATTGCAGGAGTATAATTATGTAAAAATGAAATTGTGTGCTATGTATAGGAATAAATGTTCACCATGTTGACAAACTGGCAATAATTTGCTATTATTATGGAATCACAAATGAAAATAAAATGCTTCGCTGGGCGCAGCTTGATACGACCGCAGAGGTCGAACCCTGAACAGTTGGGGCAAGTATGGACACAACATTCAAGCTTGATACAGCTCTGAATTTGGATTGTGATTAAATATTTGACACAGCATAGGTTTCTGACACAGAAAGAATGTGGTCTACGAACTTCAATTTTTTTAATTTACCTATTATGGTCCAATGTCCAAAATCAAAATACATGGTTAGATTCAGCATATCAAAGAACCCCATATATTCAATTTTTGTTGAAATCAAACAAAGTTTAATCTTGGACCCCAACTTGGACAAACTTGAAAACTGGTCCCATAATCAAAAATCTAAACACATGTTTAGATTCAGCATATCAAAGTACCCCAAGAATTCAATTTTTGTTAAAATCAAACTAAGTTTAATTTTGGACCCTTTGGACCTTAATGTAGACCAATTAAAAAAAACCGGATCCAAAATTAAAAATCTAAAAACACGGTTAGATTTGGCATATCAAAGAACCCCAATAATTCAATTTTTGATGAAATCAAACAAAGTTTAATTTTGGACCCTTTTGACCTCAATATGAACTAATTTGATAGCGGGCCCACAAATAAAAAATCTAAATACATGGTAAGATTCAGCATATCAAAGAACCCCATATATTCAATTTTTGTTGAAATCAAACAAAGTTTAATTTTGGACCCCAATTTGGACCAACTTGAAAACTGGGCCAAAAATCTAAAATCTAAATACATGTTTAGATTCAGCATATCAAAGAACCCCATATATTCAATTTTTGTTGAAATCAAACAAAGTTTAATTTTGGACCCCAACTTGGACCAACTTGAAAACTGGGCCCATAATCAAAAATCTAAACACATGTTTAGATTCAGCATATCAAAGAACCCCAAGAATTCAATTTTTGTTAAAATCAAACTAAGTTTAATTTTGGACCCTTTGGACCTTAATGTAGACCAATTTAAAAAACGGGACCCAAAATTAAAATTCTAAATACACGGTTAGATTTGGCATATCAAAGAACCCCAATAATTCAATTTTTGATGAAATCAAACAAAGTTTAATTTTGGACCCTTTTGACCTCAATATGAACCAATTTGATAGCGGGTCCACAAATAAAAAATCTAAATACATGGTTAGATGCAGCATATCAAAGAACCTCATATATTCAATTTTTGTTGAAATCAAACAAAGTTTAATTTTGGACCCCAATTTGGACCAACTTGAAAACTGGGCCAAAAATCAAAAATCTAAATACATGTTTAGATTCAGCATATCAAAGAACCCCATATATTCAATTTTTGTTAAAATCAAACAAAGTTTAATTTTGGACCCTTTGGACCTTAATGTAGACAAATTTGAAAACTGGACCCAAAATTAAAAATCTAAATACACAGTTAGATTCGGCATAACAAATAAATAAATGTGGTCAAAGATTTTACAAATCTAATGCGCCATACTGGTCTTCCTTTATAAATATGCATTTCTTTAAACATAATTTAAAAGCAGTGTAAGGGAAGTAACCAAAATGTTGTATTTGGATTACCTCCCTTACACTGTTTTAAATTATCTTAATTGTTCATTAACCATTACTTTATACATAATTTAAAAGCAGTGTAAGGGAGATAATTTCAATGATGTATTTGATTTATCTCCCTTACACTGCTTTAAATTATGTTTTGTACTAAAGTATTTGTCCATTAATGAGGACAACCTTGTTTTTCCCCCTTTTTTGCCCCTAATTCTTAAACGGTTTGAGCAATAACCTCCCAAAGCAAATCCTAACCATCCCTTTGTGGTATGGAAACTTGTAGTATAATTTCAGAGAGATCCATACACCGTTCCACAGTTATTGTCTGGAATCTAGAAAATGCTTATTTTTGGCCCCTTTTTGGCCCCTAATTCCTTAACTGTTGGTACCATAACCCCCAAAATCAATCCCCACCTTCCTTTTGTGGTATTGAACCTTATGGTAAAATTTCATAGAAATCTATTCACTTAAACTAAAGTTAGAGTGCGAAAACTAATGCGTCTTCGGACAACGACGCAGGACGACGACGACGACGACGACGCCAACGTCATACCAATATACGACCACAAAAATTTTTTTGCGGTCGTATAAAAAATTACCAACTCAAGATTGATTCATATTTAAATGACTAAACTTTTATACTTACATCTGAAAATGGGTACCATACTGATGCAAAGTAAGAAAATGCAAAGTAGTGGTTCACAATCACCATAACTAAAATTAAAAAAATACATTAATACTTTGAAAAGCTAGCATGATTTTCCGACCAAAAATGACTACTTTACAGCTTAGTTAACTGTAGATAAACTAACCTGATACTCCAGCTGAGACAGTAAGACAGCTCTATCAATTGTAGAGTTCTGGGATAGTTGTTGTTTCAATGTGGAGATTGAAAAAGTCACATCATGTGATATTTTTCTATGCATCCGCCTAGTTTTTTACACATGCTAATTAGGCAAATATTATAATTCAAATAGATTTCCACTTAAAAAGTCAACCAGGCTTTTCATGTTTTACCCCCTTAACCTGATGGAAACCCACAACAAGGCGACTTCGCCAATATGATGATGTTTTCATGTTTAACCCCCTCAACCTGATGGAAACCTATGGCAAGGCGACATCGCCCATATGTTGATGTTTTCATGTTTTACCCCCTCAACCTGATGGAAACCCACAACAAGGCGACATCCCCCATATGTTGATGTTTTCATGTTTTACCCCCTCGACCTGATGGAAACACACAACAAGGCGACATCGCCAATATGTTGATGTTTTCATGTTTTACCCCCTCAACCTGATGTAAACCCACAACAAGGCGACATCACCCATATGTTGATGTTTTCATGTTTTACCCCCTCAACCTGATGTAAATTTTTTAAACCCACAACAAGGCGACATCACCCATATGTTGATGTTTTCATGTTTTACCCCCTCGATCTGATGGAAACCCACAACAAGGCGACATCCCCCATATGTTGATGTTTTCATGTTTTACCCCCTCAACCTGATGTAAACCTACAGCAAGGCGACATCGCCCATATGTTGATGTTTTCATGCAGATAAGGTTGTATTGATTTTAAAACATCATAGATTTTCGACATATTTACATGACTTTGGCATGTTTATTTTTTTGTGTAAAATGATATATAGGACAAATGGTAAAACAGTCTATCTCAGAACTAAAGTATTTCAAGAGCTAACTGTTTGATCCAAGTTAGTAGTTTAGCAAGCTGTACATGTAGGCTCGAGAAAATATTTTGTTCAGTTTTCTAATGTATATGTAGGAAATTTTCATAATCCTTCTCTGAATTAAATTGAGAATATTACAGCATAAAACAGCATGGTTTCTACAAAACAGACTTAGTACCTTTAGCTTGCTTTCAGTATATACATTTGCCTGTTTTGTTGAAAAAGTATCTTAAGTTGTTCATATATGAGTTTTTGTCAAATGTAATAGATGTACTAACTCATGTAGTACAGGGCCATTGTTCATCTGCTGATCTTTGTTATTTACCATAATCTATGTGCTACATGTATTTGTTATTCCAATGAAAAATAAAAGAACAGAGTTCCAATATCCCCCGCATTGCACATATTTTATCTATCCAAGGTACAAGAGCAATAACTAAAAAAAAACTTTTTTTTTTGTTCTTTGAAACTTTTTATAAATATCTTTGAGAAATGAAGGCTTCAGAGCAAATGCCTTGCAATTTCCGTTAAAATTAATATTTCCAAGAATTGTACACATGAGAGCACTAACAATGTGATTTTCCATATAGTCCAATATTTCCATGGGGCATAATTATATAACTCTTTTTAAAAATAATTGATCAACACTGATTTTCGATTTGTCCGAGACATTGATGATATAAACCTATAATATAAATTTTTTTTAAATCTGGCAAGAATTGTACACATGAGAGCGTTAACATTAACAATGAAAATTTTCTATATAATCAATATTTCCAAGAGGCATAACTTTTTTAAAAATAATTGATGGGCATTGATTTCTTTCTCCACAAAGACATTGCTGATATAAACCTATAGCTATGATGTAAATTTCATAACATTCTGGCAAGAATTGTACACATAAGCACTTACAATGCAATTTTCCATGTAATCAATATTTCCAAGGGCATAACTCTTTTAAATAGCTGCGCCACGAGCGCATGATACACCCGTAGTCTTGTGTGTGAGTTTTAAGGCAATAATCATAAATCATTTCTGAGATACAGCGCGACATGTGAAAACCCCCCCAGTTTTTTTTATAAAAAAATCAATAACTCTAAAATAAAATTTTGAATCATCACCAAAAAGTATACAGATCTTAAGATTAATATAATTAAGAAGTGTGTAAAGTTTTAAGCAATAATCATAAATCGTTTTTGAGATACGGCGTGACCTGTAAAACCCCCCCTTTTTTTTACAAAAAACTCAATAACTGTAAAATAAAATTTTGAATCATCACCAAAAAGTATACTGATCTTTAGATTAATATAACTAAGAAGGGGGGCCTCAGTGGCCAAGTGGTCTAAGTAGTTACTACTGTAATCACTAGCCAGTCAACACTGAGGTTGTGAGTTCGAACCCCGCTCGTGCGGGTGCACTCGACTCCAATCTTAATTGACTAGGATTGTCAGTTTTCCTATTGAAGGTCGGTGGTTTTCTCAGGGCACTCAGGCTTCCTCCACCAATAAAAACTGGCCGCCACAAAATAGCTCAAAAGCGGTGCTTAAAAGTGGCGTTAAAACACCAAAAATCAAAAAAATCAAATATAACTAAGAAGTGTGTAAAGTTTTAAGCAATAATCATAAATTGTTTTTGAGATACGGCGTGACATGTGAAAAAAACACCCCCCTGTTTTAGTTACAAAGTCCTGTAACTCAAAAAGTTTTAATCTTATTTTCACCAAAAAGTATACAGATCGTTTGACCATCATAAGAAACAACTATGTTAAGTTTCATGAAATTTGGATAAGTTGTCTCAAGTTACTGTGCGACATGGAGACGCCGGACAGACGGACAGACAGATGCCGAACATTTGTATACCATAATACGTCCCATCAAAAATTTTGACGGGTGTATTAAAATCATAAAAATCTGTCAAGAATTGTACATGTGAGTGCTCTAACAAAACTTGATGGACTGATGGATGGACGGATGTCCGTTTTTTCTATGTCCCCATAACGAGTTGCGTGAGGGACAAAAATACATTTTGAAATCAGATTACACATGTTACAGGTTTATTTACTTAAAAGATTTTATCAGCGTTGAATACACACCAGAGACAGACTATTTCTCTGTTGATATTACATGACAAAATAACTTTGGTCCGTGCCCCCTCCAAAAAAAACCCCAAAAAAACAGAATAGTGTACTTACTGACAGATGCTATAAATGATGGGGATGATAATATAAAGTACGGGAAACTCTGTAACAATGCAAAGTATGCTGCATTTCCTGATAATCCTACTATGATTAATGATGTGTCCAGATCTTCAAACAGGAACAAACCAATATACACTGCTGTGGTGAACTGAAAAAAGAAATACATGTTTTGTACACCTTAATCATGTATTTACAAATACTGCTTTGTTGCACTTACTTTATACTCATATACTTTATACACATAGATCCTATCACTACAATGAGTGGGATGTATATATAGATGTTTTCCCCAAGCCTGTTGACTAATAAATCTATCCACTTATGATAGTAAAATTTTTAAACTTTAAAATGCGGAATATCTTGAAAATTGAAAGTTTAACTATTGAGAGTGGATAAATATTGTAGTAGACTAAGTCAAGTGTAAGAATCTTATTCACTTCTTATATAAAGGGAAATGTAAAATTGAGCAATGGTTGAATGATAGGGCGGCAAAGTACTCAAGACAAATTAACTTGTGTTTATCAAAAGTTATCAAACTTGTCAACATCTGTTTAAATGCACACAGAAATTTAGAAACTTCTTTATTATTCAGGTTCAAGACAGTTCATGAGTTGCATTTTCTTCCTCTAATCTGGCAATTTTAAAAATCCAAGGACTGCATAGCTCTTCAAATATCAAACTTAAATGTGAAGAGCAGAGAAATATCTTATTACAGAATATTCCTTTTTTAATAAGGCCCTCAATTCAAAATTTTTTTTGTTTAAATCAAGTATATTTAAAGAAAGGGATTTGAAAAGGTTCAGCCATTTAAATCATTTTCCCGTATAATAGGGATAGTATATAGTTTATTACATATTAAAAGAATTTATATATATATGTCATTTTGTGTCCAGATGAATCAGGGGAGGCAATCCTCCTTCAACTGTATACACTACTTAAAATGTGTCAGTTTAGTTGACCCACACTGGGACATTAGTAAGTTGAATGTTCTCAGCAGATACATTATATGATTATCTTAAATAAACTGGTAGTATTACAAGAGAAATGACGAAAATTATTTTTTGTTCCTAAAATTATTTGACTCACTGTCAAAACTAATAATATTAATATACATGTACATATATTTATCAGTATACAGTGTAGCTATAAGCATTGGTAGTATATCACTTGTGTTTACAGGTAAGTCATTTCCCACCAATCTTAGCTCGTGCAATCGGCACTATTTTGTACAGTGTATATTAGAAGGAAAATATACTAATTATCAGTCAAGGGACTTACTTAAATGAGTGATTTTCTAAATCACTGATTCAAGTAACATTATGTCCACGAAGGTTGGAAGTAAGAGTTGTCTTTCTTTAATAATCACCTATTTAAGTAGTACAAATAAATCACTAGACTAAGTGATTTAATTTTATTGTAGCTTTAAATATAGAAACTAATGATCCAGGGTCTAATTATGTTGCTAAAATTATCAGAACAAACATCTGTATTGAAAGGATAACTGGTCATGTCAGGTGATGACCTTGTACTAAATTTGAGATAATGACATAAAAATCACTTGTCTTATTATCATACCTCTATTTTCTTCCAAAAAATCACTTCTTTAAGTATCATTATTTTGATAACCCCCACTAATTTCAACACCCCCGAACAGTGAAATTTTGATCGCGAACAGTAGAATTTTATTACATAATCTGTAAGATGAAACCTTGAATTTTACAGGACAAATACTCCCACTGCTGGGAAAAATCTGTTAAGAAGTATCAGTTCATTATGTAAATTAAGCCTTTATTATAGCATTTTTTCAACTAAAATAGAATTTGCAGCTAAATGATTGCATCAAAGGCATAAACCTTGCTACTTAAAAGAAGCAAAAGGTTTCATTTTTTTCAATTTTACTAATGAAAAGATATTATCCAAACCTATGTGTTTAAAATTTTGGTAAAACTACAAAATCACAATTTGTGACAAAACTTCGAATTTGCTACTTAAATAACTGATTTAAAAATCACTTATTTCAGTAATTCCCCTGCCTGATTATACAAGTTAATATATAATATTGTTACATCATAGAAATCTTCTTGACTTTAATCTACAAATGTAATGTAATTCATTTGTAAATATTTGATATAAAGGGCCTTCTAATACTATACATGCCCAATACACGACAAATTGGACAATTGTTTTATGAGAATTTGATATTTTTAAACGAAAATGTGAAACATTGATATAACAGACACCAATCTTAAAATGACAGCCCTTTGAACTGCCAAACAAGGAGGCATGTAGAATTCAGAATAAATAAAATGCTCCGCTGGGGCGCAGCTTGATACGACTGCAGAGGTCGAACCCTGAACAGTTGGGGCAAGTATGGACACAACATTCAAGCTTGATACAGCTCTGAATTTGGATTGTAATTAAATAATTGACACAGCATAGGTTTCTGACACAGAATGAATGTGGTCTAAGAACTTAAAATTTTTTAATTAACCTATTCAAACCATATCATTATTATTTGCTTTTATATATAAATCAGAAATAACCAATTCAAAATGGAAAGTTTTAAAGAAAATAAAATGCTCGGCAGGGCGCAGCTTGATACGACCGCAGAGGTCGAACCCTGAACAGTTGGGGGAAGTATGGACACAACATTCAAGCTTGATACAGCTTTGGATTTGGATTGTGATTAAATATTTGACACAGCATAGGTTTCTAACACAGATTGAATGTGGTCTAAGAACTTAAAAATTTTAAATTGGACATTCACCTATTATGGTCCAATATCCAAAATCTAAATACATGGTTAGATTCAGCATATCAAAGAACCCCAAGAATTCAATTTTTGATGAAATCAAACAAAGTTTAATTTTGGACCCTTTTGACCTCAATGTGGACAAAGTTGATAACGGGGCCCAAAAATCAAAAATCTAAATACATGGTTAGATTCAGCATATCAAAGAACCCCATATATTCAATTTTTGTTGAAATCAAACAAAGTTTAATTTTGGACCCCGATTTGGACCAACTTGAAAACTGGGCCCATAATCAAAAATCTAAATACATGTTTAGATTCAGCATATCAAAGAACCCTAAGAATTCAATTTTTGTTAAAATCAAACTAAGTTTAATTTTGGACCCTTTGGACCTTAATGTAGACCAATTTGAAAACGGAACCAAAAATTAAGAATCTAAATACATGGTTAGATTCGGCATATCAAAGAACCCCAATAATTCAATTTTTGATGAAATCAAACAAAGTTTAATTTTGGTCCCTTTTGACCTCAATGTGGACAAAGTTGATAACGGGGCCCAAAAATCAAAAATCTAAATACATGGTTAGATTCAGCATATCAAAGAACCCCATATATTCAATTTTTGTTGAAATCAAACAAAGTTTAATTTTGGACCCCGATTTGGACCAACTTGAAAACTGGGCCCATAATCAAAAATCTAAATACATGTTTAGATTCAGCATATCAAAGAACCCCAGGAATTCAATTTTTGTTAAAATCAAACGAAGTTTAATTTTGGACCCTTTGGACCTTAATGTAGACCAATTTGAAAACGGAACCAAAATTTAAGAATCTAAATACACAGTTAGATTCGGCATATCAAAGAACCCCAATAATTCAATTTTTGATGAAATCAAACAAAGTTTAATTTTGGACCCTTTGGACCTCAATGTGGACCAATTTAAAAACGGGGCCCAAAATCCAAAAACTAAATACACGGTTAGATTCAGCATATTAAAGAACCCCATGAAATCAAGAATAAAACCCCATTGAAATTGGTCAAGAAATAAGCAATTTATAGGAAGTATCTTCTTTTGCACAATCCTGTGCTATTAAATATTTCTTGCTATTGCGCAATACTGTACAATTGACATATCTTGCTATTGCGCAATATTGTGCTATTGGATATTTCTTGCTATTGCACAATACTGTGCAATTGAAGATTTCTTGCTATTGCGCAATACTGTGCAATTGAAGATTTCTTGCTATTGTGCAATACTGTGCAATTGAAAATTTCTTGCTATTGCACAATACTTATTATATAATAATTTACACATCCTGTTTGGTGTGTATCTCCTACCATATCATTATTATTTGATTTTAAATATAAATCAGAAATAACCAACTTAAAATGGAAAATTTTAAAAGAAACAAAAAAGGAAAAAAAGAAAAAAAAGGAAAAAAAAATAAATCCCCCCCCAAAATTTTTTGAACCCCCATTATGATTCATCACCCCCAAACTCAATCCCAGCCTTCCCTTTGTGGTATGGTACCTTGCAGTACAATTTCAGAGAGATCCATACACTTGAACACAAGTTATTGTCTGGAAACTAGAAAAAAATGTGTTTTTTGGCCCCTTTTTGGCCCCAAATTCCTAAACGTTTTGAGCAATTACCCCCAAACTCAAACCCAGCTTTCCCTTTGTGATATGGAACCTTGTAGTACAATTTCAGAAAGATCCATACACTTACACACAAGTTATTGTCATGAAACTAGAAAAATGCTTGTTTTTTGCCCCTTTTTTGGCCCCTAATTCCTAAAATTTGGAGGCAATTACCCCCAAAATCAATCCCAGCATTCCCTTTGTGATATGGAACCTTGTGGTACAATGTCAGAGAGATCCATACACTAACACACAAGTTATATCTGGAAGTTACAAAAATGCTTATTTTTGGCCCCTAATTCCTTAACTGTTGGTACCATAACCCCCAAAATCAATCCCCACCTTCCTTTTGTGGTATTGACCTTATGGTAAAATTTCATAGAGATCCATTCACTTAAACTAAAGTTAGAGTGCGAAAACCAACGTGTCTTCGGACGACGACGACGACGCCAACGTCATACCAATATACGACCACAAAATTTTTTTGAGGTCGTATAAAAAATGTCATGTAAGACAGAGTATAGAAGTCGAAAAAAAAAGATGAGGTTTAAATGAGTTTACCATAATGAGATACTTGATAGTTTTTCCAGTAAGAACTGTGTATTCTTCAACCAATTCAGCAATATAAAATAGACCTGCAGCTGGAAAAAAGAAGCACATCCATGTATATATATATATTATGCATTTTGTAAGCATGACAAGAGTTAAATTCATGTTTCCCATTAGACCTTGTTATATATGTAAATGAAGGTGACCTATAGTTGTTAACTTCTAAGTCATTTGGTCTCTTGTGGAGATCTAGAGTTGTCTCATTTGCAATCATACCATATCTTCTTATTTTTATAGAACATACATGATGTACATGTACAAGTTATTCCAATTAAAGTTACTTTTGGTGATTTTATACAGCAAATGCTGATGTTTATCGATGGGTGACTCACTCTAAAATATTTCTCTATTTTTATCCATTTGTGACATGGTATGAGTGCTAAGACTCCAGATCTGGGGTACACATTAAACATATTAAATGCAAACTAGAAATTTTATCTCAATCACCTTGTAAGTCACTGCATTGTATGCAATATTTATGTACCCTGGAAGAAAGAATAATCATCCTATTTTTAACCCTTTACATTTAATAGTCATTAAAATATATATATGTACCTGTACTTGAAATAATGGTTAAAACTTTCACAAGGATGGCACGACATTGTCATGATTGTAATGATGATTTTTGCATATTCAGAAAACATACACAAGATAATTCTTGAAAATAGGAAATAGCTCAATTCAATTTCTAGGTGTAATAAGTAATTTTTTTTTAATGGTCCCATTGTTTAATACATAATGAACTTTATATCATCTTAGCATGGCAAGAATATTTGGAATTTTCTAAGAAAACATTTTACTGTCATGACTGTGTAATGTAAAAAGTGTTGTAATAATATCCGGCTATCTACAATAACTTTTTTCTGCACTTGTCCCATTAGCATGAGATTGCTCTGATGTCTAAAGCCTTTTTAGGACTTACTGTGGTCGTAGCATATAAAAACCATGGAAATTGCCCATCTAGACTTTGGGAGGCAAGTTTCTGCATCAAATCATACAACATTTGATTCCTAACCCATTTTTCTCCAAATGTACCTTCATGTTCTATCCCCCTGTAGCACAAATGACCGTCAGGACACTGCTTTTATCAGATATGAAACCAACCCTGAACATTTACTTGCAGTCTAAGGCATGTAAGGCATATGCGCAAAATCAAAAAGCAACTACCGGGTAGTTCAACCCCATAATTTGCATAATAGGCTTATAATTGATATGTTGAGCCCAGGACTGCAAACTTTAAATAAGTTTCTGTATTACATAATCCCTTAGGATTCTGCGTCTGGAGTAATTTTCTGATTTGGCCGCCCTCAGAATCCCTTATCATGCTTATCAAGCTGTATATATGTATGTACATGTATATACATTGTATGTACAGAGATACCTCTATGTGTGAATGGAGCAGCCTGCAATTGCTGTGAGGGTACAGTGGAATCAGTCTACACTCCCTATCAGGATTAATGGAGATGCGTCACTAATTTATATACAACTCACCACCAGGATTGATTGATTAATTCATTCATTGGTGTTGAATGCCACTTTCAGAACTATTATGCTATTTTGTGGTGGTCAGTTTTAATTGCAGGAGGAAGCTGGAGTGATGGAGAGAACTACGACCTTCGGTAGGAAAACTGACAATCCCAGTCAATTAATAAGAGAGTCAAGCGCACCTGACATGTGGGATTGGAAACTCAAAACCTCAGTGTTGACAGGCTAGTTATACAGTAGTTCTGACTTCTTAGACAACTTGGCCGCCTAGGCCCCAGCACCACCAGGACAATACCCAACTTAACACAGAGGGAGTGTTAGGACATCGGGAAAGTCTGTTATTATGGTGGAGAAACAGGAAGTACAAAATGTACTCAGAGCTTCTTGGAGGAAACAGACAATCAGACAGAGGTCAAAAGTTAGGGGCCACTTTGACCAACCTAGGCTCCAAAAGTAGCCAATTCAGTATAAACTCCACTCTGGGTACCAGAGATGTGTGTGAGGGTGAAAATCACCGTACTAATGAACTTTATTTAACTAATCATGATGTACAACATGTAGCTCAAATCCCTAATTTTTTTAAAAACTACCTCACCTCAAACCTGTGTGTGGACAGTGCCTTTTAGGCCTTCATGGCCTGATGCAGGGAAAAATTTTCAGAATAAAAATTTGTATGCTGTGACAGGTGGAGACTCACAGATTTATAAATATTGTAACGTTTGTGTATGAGGGTCGTAATGGGTGTACATGTACCTTCATGAAAATAATGGTAAAAATTCTTGCGAAATGACGTTAACGGTAATTTTTGGTGCATGACGATAAAATGTACACTTTCTTTAACCCTCTTGCTGCCAAAGGGACATTTATGGCTTCTACACACAAATCTTGTTGATTGTGTAGAACGTCAAAGGTCCATGGTAACGTCACAATACTGAGGGGCACTGACAACGTCAAAAGACAGCGCCAAAAGGACGATTTGCAACGTCACAGATATGAAACGTCAAGATGCTTTTGACGCGACAAAGCAAGAAAAAAAACTCGGCAGCAAGAGGGTTAAGAGGATAAAAAAATTTACTGATTTTGACGAATCACGCTAATTTTTTTCCAAAAATAACGTTAACGACAATTATTTGAGACATCTGACGTATCACGATAAGGATAATATGATGAATCAGGATAAAATTTTAACCAATTTGACGTTAACAGTAGCCGAAAATGGCCGTTTGACGCCTGACAGTAATGGGCATTCATTCCCTCGTGTATGGACTCCAACTGTTCTTGCCAATTTCAATTGTCTTCTACTGACATAGACCTTTCCAGACGTCTTAATTATTTGGACTACTTCTGTCGTCATAATTATTTGGACTACTGACATAGAAGGAAGGCGTCATAGAAAAAATTTAAAATAGCCTTTCCAGACGTCTACTGACATAACTGAGTTTAGAGTCCCCGGACTCTGTTGTTAAATATAAACATTGAAGTAATATACTTAAAATACTTTACCAATAGCTAGTGTGATCAAACATATTTGGATTAACAATGCAATCCAACTCAAAAGATACATAAACCACATTTTTAAGTTGATTTACAGTAGAATCGAAATGTGGCTGATCTCAGTGTAACCGGAAATACATCGTTAATGATCGAAGTCGTTTCCCGAAAGTTCCGGATAATCCATGTATACTGTCACTCTCGTTAAAAAAAACGTAAAAAAATAACATTATGTTGAACCAGAGACATATACTACAATATGTCTCTGGTTGAACACATGAATTCTTTAAAGCCAAAATTTGAAAGTAAACAAAGAAGGTTCTTCTTCTAATTTTTATAAAGAAAATTGTCATAGAAAGCAACGAATATTTCTGAGTTTAATTATAAAAATAATGTTTTGGAAAATTTACAAATTGGTATAAGCAGAGACAGAGACATATATAAGTCAAAGATGTTTCTGGTATAAGTAAAAGGGAAAAGATTGAAAAAGAAAAGTTCTACATTTTACTTGTTTAAGTCCTTACAATTTATTTAAGAATTATATTCTTTTTTTTTCAATTTAACAGAGGTGTAAAAGCGTTGACCGAAACTGGCATATTTATATGAAACGCAGAAGATTCATTCTAGAAATGTGACATGTTCAACGCTTTTACAACCGTATTTTACAATTACAAATAGAAGCATTCAAATTGTAATTACATTTTCAAATTTCAAATTTCACTTCAATGAAGTCAAGTTCTATATTGACTATAGGTTTGATGTTAATCCAGAATAGAAGTATTTTATTACTGACCACAACAGGGGCGGATCCAGCCATTTCAAAAGGGGGGTTCCAACCCAGGATAAAATGTCCCAATTCAAAAGCATTGATCGTAAAAAAAAAATCCCGGCCCCCCTTTTGGATCCGCCACTGCACAATGAGCTATTTGGGATACATTCATTAAATGTGTCTATATAAAGCATTATATTAAATGGTCCACTACGTCAAGAGCCTTTTTGCGGATCTAATGTTATATGCTTAGTTTCAGCTTTTGCTTTGTAGGGTAGATTGCATGTAGTTAGTACCAAGAGTTGGTAAGATGATGCCTTCGCATAGAGATTTGATAAGAAAAGTTGTAACCGAATAAGGAACATGTTTTGAATGTTCAGAATTAAGTTCATCTGCTGCATTTCTAAAGTTGAGCTTTCTTATGTTGTGGAGACTTCGTTTGATGTCATTGCAGCTAGGTTCTAGTAGGTTTCTTCCTCGTATAATTGTTGAAAAAGAGAATGACACACATTACAGGGATCTTGAAACTCATTATCATAATTGTTATTCTTAGGCGTGACCAGATCTTCAATGTACTGCGGGGGCCTCGGTGACCGAGTGGTCTTAGAAGTCGAAATACTGTATCACTAGCCTGTTAACACTAAGGTTGTGAGTTCGAATCCCGCACGAGGCAGGTGCTCTCGACTTCAATCTTAATTAACTAGGAGTATTAGTTTTCCTACCGAAGGTTGGTGGTTCTCTCCGGACACTCTGGCTTCCTCCACCAATAAAAACTGACCGCCACGAAATAGCACAATAGTGTTGAAATTGGCGTTAAACATTAATCAATCAATCAAAGTACTGCACAAAGCATCGCGTTTGATCTTCATGCAGTCTTATACACATTTTGATTGTTGGACGAGATATATGAAGCCTGAGTATTACGATTTATCCTAGTTATATTCCGTCTGATTAATCTATGATTTTTTTCTGAGTCAGAATTCTCCATTTGCTCTCTGTAAAAGTTAATTTATTTGCATATTGTTCCCTACGGATTTGGCGTACTTTCGAGTACAGTTTTCGTACTCAGACATCAACCAATCAAAATTCTGGCGGATTTTACGTTTCGAGTACAAATATTGTACTCTTAAGTACTGAGTAAAGTTTTATGACCGAAAGGCCAGAAGTGTCGTCTGGTCTGTACCGATAGCGTCCTTTTCAATGTTGTGACAGTTGGACGGACTAATTAAGATAAGCACTGTATAAACTTCGTCCGTCCGAAGCGCTTTTCTGGATTTACCTTCATCAAGAACGCTAAAACCTAAACATTTGAAAGCCAGCGATGTGTAAATATGCTGCAACGTTAGGAGCTTTATGACCAAAAATGAACTTTAACAGAATAGCTAAATTCATCCAAGGTCAACTTTGCCTGATGCAGTTGGAACCTTACTTTCTTAATAACTTCATAATTTATGAACAGGGAAATTAAAATAAGTATCGAAGTACCGAAAAGATTGACTACAGAGCTGATGATACCCTCCTGGACTAACAGTCCATTAGCAGCGCTAGTAAATAAAATAAACACTTTGTAAGTTCCGTCGTGCCCCGAAGCGCTTTTCTTGATTAACCTTCACTAGGAACGCCGATTCGTACGGCGGGTGATTGTAACAAAGATATAGGAAGGTGTGGTATGAGTGCCAATGAGACAACTCTCCATCCAAGTTACAATTTATAAAAGTAAACCATTATAGGTCAAGGTACGGCCTTCAACACGGAGCATTGGCTCACACCGAACAGTAAATTTGGTCCGGTAGTAAAATTTGTCCGCCAGACTTTTATTCCTAGTTAATCAAGTCCATGACCATTATTTTACTAGGAATGTAAGTCCTAGGACAAATTTTCCTAGGAAAATAAGTCCAAAGCTAGTAAAATATGTCTGGCATTTATTTTCCTAGGAAAAATTGTCCTAAGAGTTGTTTTTCTAGTAATTTTCATTGTATTATAAAAATTATTGAAAATAAAAAAAAAAACACATATTTTCTTAGTTTAGGATGGAAAGTTTCATTTTTTTTCCCTATCAAAATAAAGGACATGGACGTTTTTACCTAGAAATATTAATAACATGGACATGATTTCCTAGGAAAATTAGTCTGGGGATTTGAATTGTATCAAAATATTTATGCACAACTCTTTAACAATATTAAAACATAAAAATTAAATTTCCATTGTTTATATGTAAATAATTTGTTTCATTAAAATTTTCCTTTTAAAATAAAGGACATGGACGTTTTTACCTAGGAATATTAATAACATGGACATGATTTCCTAGGAAAATTAGTCTTGGGATATAAATTTTATCAAAAAAATTGATACACAACTCTTAAACAATATTAAAACATTACATTTATATTTACCTTTTAGACGTTTTTACCTAGAAATATTAATGACATGGACATGATTTCCTAGGAAAATTAGTCTGGGGACATGCATTTTATTAAAAATATAAATACACAACTCTTAAACAATATTAAAACATAACATTTAAATTTCTATTGTTTAAATGTAAATAATTTGATTCATTAATATTTTTTCTATAAAAAAATAAGGACATGGATGTTTTTACCTAGGAATAGTAATGACATGGACATGATTTCCTAGGAAAATTAGTCTGGGGACAAAAATTACTAACATCGGACTAAAAATACTAGTAAATTCTATAACCATGGACTTTTTATACCAGTAATATGTGTCCACCCGGACATATTTTACCAGGAAATGTATCTCTTACACATTGCATGAATTTATAGCATAGACCAGGACACACTATCCTGTCGACATAACTGGTCGGGCTGCGATGGGCTCGGTTTTAGTTTTCCTTCCTTGATTTGTATCTTCTCAAGTTGTGGATGTATGGGATCTCAACATCGGTAAAGTAATGTTGCTCTAATTTATATACATATCTAAAAAATACACTTGTTGTGTGTTTGAATTTATGCTATATAATGCATAATGGTGTTGCCTGTTGTGTCTATATAAGAATAAGAATAAGAATATTTATTATTCCAATCAAGGGCCCTTGATGGGCAGCATGACATGTATACACACAAAACAATACATTGTGATTTGTAACATAAACACATTTTTTACATTGAAATGAAATATTAAAAGTTCAGATAGATGTTATCATGATAGAGCTACATACATTCTTCATTTTATATAAGTCATGTACATTTAATTCCAGGCAGGACCAGAACCATAAAATCATTACAATTATCATTGTTATTACATATATTAATTTACATTTCGTCTAACATCTAGACATTTAATAATATAGTTCCCTAAATATTTAAGGACAGACAAATTTTCATTAGTAAATAACCAAACAAATTTTGCCTCATTTGAGAGATATGAAAAATTAGGACAAATACTGTTTATCTCCTTGAAAAATATCTCCCTATCATCTTTGTATGTTGGACAACTAATAATAAAATGTTGTTCATCTTCAACCAAATTAAGGGTGCATTTCTTACAAAGCCTTTGATCTCTTTCTATATATAAAGTTTTATACCTGTCTCTTTCTATTTTGAGATCATGGGCACTGATTCTGATTTTAAATATGGCACTTCTCAATTGAAAATTGTTTAAAGATAGATACATTTCTTTAGAAAAACAAGTTTTTAGGTTGAAATAAGTATTTAATTTACTACTTTTTGTATCTGTTCTTTTTGTGTTCCAACATTTTACAAAACTTTTACAAAGTTTTTGTGTAACTGACTTGATAAAAAAGTAAAGCTTTACCTCCAAATTATGAACATTCAGATTTTTAAAAATGTAATGTATGGATGAATACCAGCATTCAATATTATTAGTAAACATGTTTTTGTTACACATATAGGTATCATACAGTAAACCATCTTTCATATTTTTTATTCTAAACCAATATTTCAACATTGATAATACAACTGAAAAATATAAAGGGAATCTACCAAGCTCTCCTAGTACAGCTAAGTTAGAAGACTTTTTGTTTACACCTTAAATATACTTCATATATCTTAAATTGGATTTATCTAAAAAATCATTCATACAAATGTGCTGTAATAAATATTCACTGTCTTTTTGACATGCTGCAGAGCTAGTTTTAAACATACATGTAATTTTTGTTTTTTTTGTTTCTCGACAAAAGAACGACCAAAAATGAACTTTAACAGAATAGCTAAATTCATCCAAGGTCAACTTTGCCTGATGCAGTTGGAACCTTACTTTCTTAATAACTTCATAATTTATGAACAGGGAAATTAAAATAAGTATCGAAGTACCGAAAAGATTGACTACAGAGCTGATGATACCCTCCTGGACTAACAGTCCATTAGCAGCGCTAGTAAATAAAATAAACACTTTGTAAGTTCCGTCGTGCCCCGAAGCGCTTTTCTTGATTAACCTTCACTAGGAACGCCGATTCGTACGGCGGGTGATTGTAACAAAGATATAGGAAGGTGTGGTATGAGTGCCAATGAGACAACTCTCCATCCAAGTTACAATTTATAAAAGTAAACCATTATAGGTCAAGGTACGGCCTTCAACACGGAGCATTGGCTCACACCGAACAGTAAATTTGGTCCGGTAGTAAAATTTGTCCGCCAGACTTTTATTCCTAGTTAATCAAGTCCATGACCATTATTTTACTAGGAATGTAAGTCCTAGGACAAATTTTCCTAGGAAAATAAGTCCAAAGCTAGTAAAATATGTCTGGCATTTATTTTCCTAGGAAAAATTGTCCTAAGAGTTGTTTTTCTAGTAATTTTCATTGTATTATAAAAATTATTGAAAATAAAAAAAAAAACACATATTTTCTTAGTTTAGGATGGAAAGTTTCATTTTTTTTCCCTATCAAAATAAAGGACATGGACGTTTTTACCTAGAAATATTAATAACATGGACATGATTTCCTAGGAAAATTAGTCTGGGGATTTGAATTGTATCAAAATATTTATGCACAACTCTTTAACAATATTAAAACATAAAAATTAAATTTCCATTGTTTATATGTAAATAATTTGTTTCATTAAAATTTTCTTTTTAAAATAAAGGACATGGACGTTTTTACCTAGGAATATTAATAACATGGACATGATTTCCTAGGAAAATTAGTCTTGGGATATAAATTTTATCAAAAAAATTGATACACAACTCTTAAACAATATTAAAACATTACATTTATATTTACCTTTTAGACGTTTTTACCTAGAAATATTAATGACATGGACATGATTTCCTAGGAAAATTAGTCTGGGGACATGCATTTTATTAAAAATATAAATACACAACTCTTAAACAATATTAAAACATAACATTTAAATTTCTATTGTTTAAATGTAAATAATTTGATTCATTAATATTTTTTCTATAAAAAAATAAGGACATGGATGTTTTTACCTAGGAATAGTAATGACATGGACATGATTTCCTAGGAAAATTAGTCTGGGGACAAAAATTACTAACATCGGACTAAAAATACTAGTAAATTCTATAACCATGGACTTTTTATACCAGTAATATGTGTCCACCCGGACATATTTTACCAGGAAATGTATCTCTTACACATTGCATGAATTTATAGCATAGACCAGGACACACTATCCTGTCGACATAACTGGTCGGGCTGCGATGGGCTCGGTTTTAGTTTTCCTTCCTTGATTTGTATCTTCTCAAGTTGTGGATGTATGGGATCTCAACATCGGTAAAGTAATGTTGCTCTAATTTATATACATATCTAAAAAATACACTTGTTGTGTGTTTGAATTTATGCTATATAATGCATAATGGTGTTGCCTGTTGTGTCTATATAAGAATAAGAATAAGAATATTTATTATTCCTATCAAGGGCCCTTGATGGGCAGCATGACATGTATACACACAAAACAATACATTGTGATTTGTAACATAAACACATTTTTTACATTGAAATGAAATATTAAAAGTTCAGATAGATGTTATCATGATAGAGCTACATACATTCTTCATTTTATATAAGTCATGTACATTTAATTCCAGGCAGGACCAGAACCATAAAATCATTACAATTATCATTGTTATTACATATATTAATTTACATTTCGTCTAACATCTAGACATTTAATAATATAGTTCCCTAAATATTTAAGGACAGACAAATTTTCATTAGTAAATAACCAAACAAATTTTGCCTCATTTGAGAGATATGAAAAATTAGGACAAATACTGTTTATCTCCTTGAAAAATATCTCCCTATCATCTTTGTATGTTGGACAACTAATAATAAAATGTTGTTCATCTTCAACCAAATTAAGGGTGCATTTCTTACAAAGCCTTTGATCTCTTTCTATATATAAAGTTTTATACCTGTCTCTTTCTATTTTGAGATCATGGGCACTGATTCTGATTTTAAATATGGCACTTCTCAATTGAAAATTGTTTAAAGATAGATACATTTCTTTAGAAAAACAAGTTTTTAGGTTGAAATAAGTATTTAATTTACTACTTTTTGTATCTGTTCTTTTTGTGTTCCAACATTTTACAAAACTTTTACAAAGTTTTTGTGTAACTGACTTGATAAAAAAGTAAAGCTTTACCTCCAAATTATGAACATTCAGATTTTTAAAAATGTAATGTATGGATGAATACCAGCATTCAATATTATTAGTAAACATGTTTTTGTTACACATATAGGTATCATACAGTAAACCATCTTTCATATTTTTTATTCTAAACCAATATTTCAACATTGATAATACAACTGAAAAATATAAAGGGAATCTACCAAGCTCTCCTAGTACAGCTAAGTTAGAAGACTTTTTGTTTACACCTTAAATATACTTCATATATCTTAAATTGGATTTATCTAAAAAATCATTCATACAAATGTGCTGTAATAAATATTCACTGTCTTTTTGGCATGCTGCCGAGCTAGTTTTAAACATACATGTAATTTTTGTTTTTTTTGTTTCTCGACAAAAGAACGACTTCTGTCAGAGTAGGCACTGGACCTTTATATCGTAGAGAAAACTAGCTTGCGAACAATGCCTATGAACGTATGTATGGCATTGATGTCGATGAAGAGGCATGTCGTGATTAAACTGACACCTGTAATTTGAAGAAGCCAAAGTTTTTAAATATAAAATAAATAAAAACACGAAGAATGCAATACAAATTACAATTGCAAAAGGAAAAACAATAATATAATATGACATATACATTTTCAGTTATTCTTCTTATAGAAAAATCGATAAATATTTTTAAAAACTTTTCTAAGGTAAAATTTATAGCAGATATAACTTTGACAATATTTAGGATATTGACTTAACTGAAAACTAGATTATTTGATGGATATATTGTTTATTGTTCTTAAGTAGTAAAAAGTAAAGTTATGAGTGTAGGCCGTGTTCTCCGAAAGTTATGTCAAGTATTGTGTTACAATATTCAGAGCTATTCTTTTTTCGAACCGGTATTTGAGAAAATCTTAATTCATTTAACGAAGCAAATATACTTTCTGAAAGAATTCGATATCAGTTATTGTACAAGGTCCTATTGACATTATGAATTATCTTTCTCGTCGTTTTATTTACAAGGAGTAAAGTTCAACCCACAATAGAACTGAAGGTAAGATTATAACAAAATAATAATAATAATAATAATAATACTGCAAGGAACTTATCTTTGTATATACCTTTTTTAGTATGTATCAGTGGAATCATATGGAGGAATTTCGAAATTAGTATCGGCAGTACTTTTCTTCGTCCTATATTCACTACACATTACATTAAATTGTATTTCATTATAATTTTTTTGCATTTTAAACATAATTAAAAACCAATTGTTCAGAGAACAATTGAAGGTCTTTCCACCAGTAAGGATCTATTTTGATATGAAAATATTAAAATTTTGTTTTAAATGTCAATTTCCGCATCAAATGACAGCTTATTGTACGCTGATTCCAAAAATATATGTTTTTTTATACAAAAAGATATAAATAGGGGAGATAATTTTTTACTTCCGGTATTGTTTGATAGTTTACTTGACACTGATTCCAAAAATATATGGTTCTATATACTTTTACATTAACTTAGTACAAAAAATAGCTACTTCCGGTTTACAAAAGGTCACTTCCGGTTGACTTTTTCAATGTCACATTGCTTGCAACCTAATGCAAAAAGTCCCTTGGCTTTATCATGTATACATATGAGGTAAAAGCAAAGGTCAAAATCTAGAACGTTAAATTTACCTATGACCTTGAGCTCAATTTCAAGGTCATAAACCAAGGACCACAAATCAAAAGACTCTAGGCCTCTACTTTATATTGTTTATGAGTTCTATTACCATACGACTAATATTAGATATAAAAGGGGGAAAACTCGCATCAAATGTCTACGTACCCTTTCAACTAAAATTTACGTGTTACGACATGTCGCAACTAACAATTGTGTGAAAATATTTTGTCGATATCTTATATGATTTCTAAAAATAAGAGATAACAAGCCAAAATCAAAATTTTGAACATGACCTTGACCTTTGACCTTGACCTCATTTTCATTTTTTTGGACCAAGGACCTCATATCAAAAGACCCTAGGCCTCTATCACTTATGGTTTTCCAGTTAAAAATACATTTCACTTATATCAAATACAAAAGGGGAAATAACTCTCATATGGAATCTCTATACGGCTTCGGTCAAAATAAAACCTAACATCCTGAGGATATAACGAGCAATTTGGAAAAATAAATTTGTCGCTTTCTTTTACGGTTGCGGAGGAGATCTCATAACAAGAAAAACAGTGTTTGGGGAGATAACTCTTACAAAGAAAAGTGTTCGGTTAAACAGGGTCAGTTTCAAAAGCGTATAGACTGTATGATATCATATACCAAAAAACTAAGCGACATCTTTTGAAACAAAAATACACCGCAAGAAAAAAATAAGGCGGAAGAAAAAAAAAATAATCAGAAGAAAACCAATAGGTCTTTCCACGGAAAGGTGGGAAGACCTAATAAAGGAAAAAAAAAAACAATGTATAAATTTCATGCTTCCGAAGCTCATTTCTGGATTTACCTTCATCAGGAACGCTCAAGGTGGAATATTTGAAAACCAAGGATGTAAATTTTAAAATGCCCGAATCAGTTGAAGAGCAATATGACCTGAAAGGGCTTTAAATAATAGCCAAATCCATCTTACGTCAACTTTGTCAGAGGGAATTGAGACTTTAGTTTCTTAATAATTTATAAATTTATAAACGGACAATTTTAGAAAGGTTTGTTATAAATCATGTCAGTACCTAGGTACTGACTACTGAGTCCACCATTAATAGTATCGACCCAGTACTGTAAAAAATGAAAACAACACTTTATATTTTTCATGCGTCAAAGCCGAATATTAGTAAGCCAATGATGTGTAAGACCAGAAACAGATCTAGATGAAAAGCTAAATGACCAAAAAAGGACCTTTGCCTGAGGGAGGGAGTTTATTGAAAATTTTCTAAACTTACATCTATTTCCCTAAACGTGTTTTTGTATTGTCTCCTATGCGTATATTTCTACTGACATACTAAAGATGATTAAATCTGTAACATATGTCTTACATACTCATTCGACTCCTCAAATCATTAGTTGATTTTTAATTATATGCTGTACATACATCAAAAGCTTAGACATTTACCCTATTCAAATAATACATTTGCAGATTTTCCTTGAGGTAATCAAATTTGAAAAAAAGCATATCATCATGGCTTCAAGTAAAGAAATAAGGAGTGCTCAGGAGGCCTAGTAAGTACGAACATTTCTAAAATTTTTCACCTGATTCGACCGCGGCTTCAGCTGAATCGCAATTGCAAAAGGTTCAACTTATGAAACGGTCAATAAAGAAATTATCCAGATATTTGTATTAAAAAAGAGGCAGATGATACCAAGGGGACAAACTGGAAATGTCAAGGCAAAACAACAACAAAAACGATGAAAAAAGACCAACAACAGTCCCCAAAACACAACAAAGAGAAAAGAATGATCATCACGAACCCAAACCAAAACCGGGGGTAAATTCAAGGGCGTAGGAGGATGAGCAGTGCCTGCTCTACACGTGGCACCCATGTGCAAAACACAGCAATGAGAATACGCGAAGAGAACAAGATGTGAACATTATCTGCACATGCACATAAATATTCCGCTAATGTTCATGCCCAGCATTCATTTCCTCACCCTGATATAGTTTTCACGTGACGTCTGTCGAATGCAAGTAAACATCCATTGATAAGTCCTTTTCGGTGATGTCACAGAAAAAAGGTTGTAACTGTGGTTACGACATTTGGAACATACCTGTGGTCATCTGCGAAACAAATGTTCCATGTTTAACTAATTCGTTTTGGCGTCCGTAAAACATTCGTAGAGATGACTTCAAATTTATTACACGGAACCCTTGTTTCGCTATCTTCCTTGTAAGTAGCAACCCTCTATCAAGAATAACAAAATAAATTGCTCATTGGTCCTGCAACAAAGAGACATTGGAATGTAAATAAACTTATCACAAAAATCACATTTGAGTGATACATGGTACAAGTTAATGAGGCTAATTCAGTTATCTCTGATGTTAAATAGCAATTGCAATACTTTGGTTACACAGACTTTGTCATTTGTGAATAAATATAATGCAGTGGTTTTCATAACAATAGTGGTTGTTCTATCTCAACATTTACATATTTGTCAAAATAAAAAAAAAAAAAATGACATTGTATAGCTTAAACTAATAGAAAAGAAAGGACATAGGGTATCCACCCATGACAAAAATACAATTCATGCACAACAAAAAACACAAAAAGCACAAAAAGCACAGAAACAGTGCTTTTGTTGGTGTTCTTCATCTAAAAGTCAAAGTTAGACCTTCAACACGGAGCAAAAACTCTCACTTCACTGCAAGTTTAAGATGGCCCCTAGCATCGGTTTTAGCGGAATTCTTTGTAAATTGACGATCACGCCAAACATGTGAATTGAAGAACAAATCCATGGAGCAACATCGATGAAATAAATCTGGCAAAGAAATCAAGCATGTACTGTCATAATTTAGCCCGACAATCTCAGTGAAGCGTGCAAAAACAAAACATAAGTATACTTTTATTTATTTTTATTTCTAATAAAGCATGAAACATATGAGGATCTCAAAGGATGATATCAGGATAGTTTTAATTGGAAAATCTGGTTCTGGGAAAAGTGAGACTGCCAACAATATATTTAGAGAGAAAAGGTTTAAAACAGATATGATGGCAGAATCAGTCACACAGTTGTGTCAATCACAGACGACAGTAATATCGGGTAAAAAAGTAACAGTAGTGGATACACCGGGTTTATTTGATCCAAATGCAAAAATAAAAGACACACAGACAGAAATTGCAAGATTCATACAAATGACATTACCAGGACCCCATGTGATATTACTTGTCACAGCAGTAGGGAGAATATCACAGGAAGACAAATCAACATTGAAGAAATTTAAAGATCAATTTGGTAGCGGAATTGAAGATCATATTATATTTCTGTTCACCCACCGTGAAAATTTGAAAAGAACCGAGAAGACGTTTTGTGAATATGTTTCTTCTACTACTAAGTCATTTCCCATTCTTTCAAAATATGGGGACAGGTGTGTGGCTTTTGAAAATGACAGCAATGGTGATGGGGGAGATTCTCAAGTTCAGGAGCTCATGCATGTTATCAGTCGTGTTACAAAAGCAAACAATGGGCAGTGTTATACCAATCAAATGTATAAGGCTAGGTTAGATGAGATCGAGGACGAGCGACAGAGAAAAGAACGGGAAGAAAAGGAGAGACTTGCAAGAGAACAAGCAGAATTGAGGAAAAAAGAAAGGGAAGCAGAGGATAAACCGTCGTAAAGCTGCAAAGAAAAAGGAGAAAAGAGAAAAGAGTAAATTCAACAAAAGAGTAAATATAGTTTAATTAATTAAATAGATATATTACAATATCATATAAAAACTTTTGAATTAACGAATACATGTATTATTTTTATGGCACATGCTAGAATAAAACCTTTAACCCTGAAATAGATTAATTTCGATGTAAGCTTTTTATTAGAAGTATAATTATTCCTGTACCAAGTCAGGAATTTGACAATTATTTTCCATTCGTTTGATGTGTTTGAGCTTTTGATTCGCCATATGATAAGGGACTTTCCGTTTTGAATTTTCATCGGAGAATGGTATTTTTGTTATTTTACTTTTTTTTTCCAATGCAGTAGTCCACTTGCGAAAATTACTGAAGATATTTAATTTATAATTTGAAACGGAAGAATATTGCAGCAAATGAAAATCTTTATATTCTTCGCGGGGATTAATTCAGACTCTCTGAAGTGTTACGTTGCAAGTCTTATTTACGGTACCAAACCCGAATTCAAACGTTAAAGAGCTGATACAAGCATTAAGAACAAAAAGTAAAGCCAAATCCGTAAAAAGAATAAAAGCTTTGTGTTTCTGTTGTTCCGTTGTTTTCCTCTTATAGTTGATGTGTTTCCCTCGGTTTTAGTTTGTGACCCGGATTTGTTTTCGCTTAATCGATTTATGACTATTGAACAGCGGTATACTACTGTTGCCTTTATTTTGCATTAGGGAGATCCTAAAAAATTCAGTACTACGTCATTTTCCCATAAAACATAATTTTAAACATATTCAGAGAGAACAACAGAAAGATAAACTTTAATAAATACATGTTTTATAGATGCATGTAATTGAAGAAGAAAAAAGATTGGAAATGCAAAAAAAGGCAAACTTAGATGCAGAAGCTGAATTGTTCAAAGAGAGACAAAGATTAGAAAGGGATAGACAGAAAATGGACGACGAAAGGCAAAGAAGAATAGAAGAAATGCAACGACTTGAAGACGAGAAAAGACGCAGAAAACAGAAAGAAAAAGACAGAAACGAAAGGTGTTTTAATATTTTTTAAGGACGAATAGTATATATTGTTCAATTGAGTAACAGATATCTTCTTTTTTCATATAATTTATTATTATCACTGATTTTAATCTTCCTAATTTTAAAATGACCAACACGATAGGGGTTTACGGTGAAGCAGGTGACCCTGCCCGAGTTAACTTCCGGTTTTGCTGGGTTTCCTATTGTTAAATCTATAGATCTGTGTGTGGTACTTTATGGACTCCTGTTTAGCTGTTCTCTTTTAAAAAAACTCATCAATTTTTTAGAAATTTACCTGTGACGTCACTTTTTGTGGCGTTGATACATTCTTGCGACGCACAGTTTATAATTCTATTGTTGTGTAAATAGGAGGTGTCCATTGTTATTCTGTGGTTTACATGTTGTAGTGTACTATTATATTATTTATTTATGTATGGATCTGTCCTGAGTGTTCTTGCGTTTAGTTGTAATGTATTCCTGTCACGTAATGTTCTCATTTTAGCGGTATTTTTAACATTGCCGTATAAGCGGGAGGTTTGGCTAGCCATAAAAACAGGTTCAAACCCACCATTTTTTCTTAAAATGCCCTGTGTCAAGTCAGGAATATGGCAGTTGTTATCAAATAGTCCGTTTCTATGTATGTTGGCGTTTGTTTTTGTAGCAGTTCAGTGTTTTTGTCGTTCCTTTGTTTTCCTCTTATAGTTGATGTGTTCCGCACGGTTTTGTTTTGTGACCCGGATTGTTTTTCAGTTAAATCGATTGATGACTATTGAACAGCGGTATACTACTGTTGCCTTTATTCATCATAGATACCAGGATTAAAATGTTGTTACTAGACGCGCGTTTCGTTTTCAAACGACTCATCAGTGACGATCAAATCAACAAAGTGTAAAAAAAACAGAGTACGAAGTTGATGATTATTGAGGACTCAAAATTATTTTAACCATGTAGACTTTCTTACATCAAAGTTTGGTGTTTGATTTTCCCTTGGTATCTACTTCTTAATTGCATTTGGTTTAAAATTTACATAGTACGGGGAATTATGAAACTGCACAATGAACCTTAATCTTGATCTTGTCAAAATGCAAAGGCACTTTGCACCAGCTCCTATATTGTGCGCAGGCGGCAGTTTATGTATAAATACGAAAGTAATATCGCTATATTTAAACATACAAATAGAAATTACAATTTGAATAACAATCACATATGTAAAGCAGGTGGACAGAATTTCAGGATAAAACAACATCTTAAAATCACCAGAAAAAGTTAGAATTCATTTATACTGTAATAAAACATGAGGAAGAAATGCGGCCTTTCGTCTACTCGGTTCTAAAATCCCATATCAAAAAACAATACTCATTGGAAAATCGAAGGCAAACATAACATTCCTTGCATACACTGATTAACTTTTGTCATTTTTATACGCCCGTTTACGGGACGTATTATAGTATACCGTTGTCCGTCTGTCCGTCCGTCCGTCCGTCCATCGTCAACATGTCGGTCATTAACTCAAAAACGCTTTAACCAACTTGCATGAAACTTTGGTGAATTGTTTAAATCTATTGACGTGAGCTCCCTTTCGATTTTTACAAATTTAGAATTTTACGTTTCCGAGTTATGGTGTTTCATTTCATTAAAAAAAGGGGGATTTTCCAGTTTTCGGACAATAACTCAAAAGTGCTTTCAGCAGTATTCATAAAAACTTTGGTGAATTGTTTATATCTATTGACGTGAGCTCCCTTTCGATTTTTATAAATTTTAGTTTTTTTCCTTTCTGAGTTATGGGTTTTTTTTCATTAAAAAAGGGGAATTTTCCAGTTTTCGGACAATTACTCAAAAGTGCATAGAGCAGTTTTCTTGAAACTTTGGTGAATTGTTTATATCTACTAATGTGAGCTCCCTTTCGACTTATGGGGTTTTATTCATTAGAAAAGGGGAATTTTCCGGTTTTCGGATAATAACTCATAGGTGCTTTGAGCAGTTTTCATAAAACTTTGGTGACTGGTTTATATCTATTAAAATAACCTCCCTTTAGTTTTTTATATAAATTTCTAATATGACATTGAGGAGTTATGGAATTTTATTCTTTGAAAAAGTGACGGGCGTATCATGAGCTCATGTTGCAGCTCTTTATTGATTGTACCAGCACTTCAATGTTTGTATTTGATTTTGGACTTTCAAATCTTTGGCTTCGAGCAACACTAAAAAGACATTAATTGCCGGAATTCCCATCTAGTGCAGTAAAATTGGTACCACTAATGTTTTGAATGTATAGCATATTCTCCTCTTTGTACCAAGAGTTCACAAGAAAACGTTATAATGAATAGTACTAAAGAAAACTACCAGAGTAAATATGATTACTGAGCTAATGACAATGCAAGATTTTTGATACTTTTACAGCGAAAGCATTAACCAAGGTGCAGTATTCACAGATAAGAGACAATGGCATGAAGACGGAAAACAGCTTGAGAAGCGAGTAGGAAAAAACAGGTTTTTTTATTTTATAAACATAGTGATATATTCCTTTTTAAAAACGCGACTTTTTCTGTTCTACTCAGTAAATATTTCAACATATCTCTTACATTCATGGATCAAACTAATTTTGGTTAATTGTAATAATCAAATCATTTAATAGTAATCTATAAAAAAAAAATGAGGCGGAAGATACCAAAGGGATACCCAGACTCATAACTTGACGACAAACTGACAACGACATGACAAAAAAACGGTAAACGACCAAAAGACAAACAGCAGTATTCAAAACACAACATATGAAACTAAAAACCGAGCAACACGAACCCTATAAAAACTAGGGGTAATCTCAGAAGCTCCGGTAGGGTGAGCATATCCTGCTCCAAATGTGTACCAAAAAAGATAATGGCAATGAAAATACGCGAAGAGAACAAGATGTGAAAATAACTGCACATGCAAACGATTAGATATCGAAAATAAATAAATTTGAAAGGCCGCAGACGCATTTATGTTAAACCAAAGATATGTTTACATTTTGGTTTTCGTATTTACAAACTGAGGTGAATTCTACTGTTGAAAGAATTGATTAGAAATACTTGATTTATAAACTTTATTCATCCCCATTTCAACTTGTTTTTGCAGTATGCCGCCAATGTTCCTACCCAGCATTCATTTCCTCATATTGTTTCATCAAGGAATTGTATGTCATTAAATGATCTTTTTCTATGCAATGACTACGTCGGGTCCAACAAAACAAAACATGAATCATTTCGATTGCGACTGCTATACGGCTCCTATTAGTAGTGTGGATATGCGCATGGTGATCAGGGACTGCTGAACCTTTTTTTTTGGCTTTCAAATATTCGGCTTTGACCACTCCTGATGAAGATATTTTCAGAAAAGCGCATAAAATTATTCTTTTCTGGAGCACTTGAGGTCATTCCTGATTTTTAATGCGGTTCGTGTAGTACAATCTTCAGTTTTCCAAATTTCGATTTCCCATGTGGTATTTCCTCTCTTTCTCTCTCTCTCTCTCTTTACTTCAAAAAATTGAAGATTCGCCAAATGTCCCCTTTAATAAACCATGTTTGGCAGAATTTTTAATGACTATGCCCTGTGTTAATAAATGATTTGAATAATGATCTTTAAAATCAAACAATGTCACTTATGCATGATATGGGAGCGTTTGTCGAAAGACAGAATTGCTTTATTCAAGTACAGGTTTGCAATTCAAAGCTTTCTTCAAAACAAGTTTGTTTATAAGTGTAGAAGTCTCAATTTTAACTTTCATTGGATGGATGAATGAATGGATGAAAGCCCAGTAGAAAATAAATATTTAGAACGAAACCAGATAAATGAGTTATGAATATGAACCCTGCTTTGTACTAGACAAACCCGCTGAACCGGATTTTTAACATTCTAGTTCATATGTTTGCAGTCCACAGAAATACATTACCCCGACACACTCTTCTGACTACGGGCCGCAAAAATTTTGCTCTTACTCCTAAATTTTAAGAGAAGCAGCGGTCTATTTTCAAGGCTTGGTTTTGACCCGGTCGCGGATAGAACCCATGACCTCCAGCAATCGAGACGAGCGAGGCGATTAACTTCGACATGGTCTATGGGATGAACGCATTTGAATTAAAAATTAAAACTTATGAAATATAAACGTCAACTGATTCATAATTATTGGTTTTTTTTTTCGATCTTCAATACTTAAACAAAGGAGCAAAAACAAAGTTTACGGATTATTTATTTACTATATAGTATTGTATGTTTTTTAACGTCAAATTCACCCCCATGTTTTTATTGGGACAGGGAACAAATGAGTCTAGCCTCCAAAAACTTGCATGACATGATTGCACAGATTGAATATGTCGTAGTCTGTGGAATTGAAGTCATGAATTTGACAAACTACACATTTACATCCCCAAAGGTTACACTTGAAAGGGGTATGACATTGATATCACCAAAAGAAATAGAACCTATGTCTGCGGGATTTATGGTAGGTAAACTTTTAATGTTGTTTTTATTATATGTTAATTACTTAAGGTAGAAAAATATATTATATATTAAACAATTTATGATTTCCACTATCAAATCTCTAATTCATATCCATAATTAGTAATAAAACATTGAAACTTGTAACCTTACAAAGAAAAAAAAATTTGATGGGTGAACACCACTAGTTTTGTACGTCATACGACTAACTTTAAAACGAGCAGGTACACATGTTATACTCTTCTAAAACATAATTGATTATTGTTAATGAAATAGCACATGCATTAATACGGGAGACAGAAAATGTTTAGCAATTTCAAAACTTCCCAAAGCGTGGTTAATTGATACACTTCTATATTTACGTTTACCGTGATGCTAACCTTTTAAATGTATTATAACATGTATATTAAAGAATGAATTTATAATCCAAAACATTACTTTTATCATATCTTTTTTTACATATAGATTACGCATAAATTTCCATATTCCGCGAACGGAACTGGTGGCGTCGTTTCATGGCAAATTCAGAACTTGGCTGAATATGGCTATTTAAACATAATGTGGTCAGTACCATTTATGCTTGATAATCACCTTAGACCTAACAAAGTTATAGTTAAAGTTGCACATGGTCATCTTTCATTTCAAAACATGTTTTCGTTTAACGCGGTATCAGAAGGCACATCTGACTATATGAACGACAAATTCCTGATTACTGCATCCATAGGATCCAACATGAAAGAAATTATTAAAGTCAACATTGAACAGTTAGTTATTCATGAGCCAAATGGAAGCAGCGACCTGCGTGATTTATTACGATCTATATCTGAAAATTGAAGATAAGCTCACTTTAATTGACATCATGTAGAAAGAAGCTATGAACATTTTTATCTTTTACTTTAGCTCAACCTTTTGATTGATATGCCAAATCGAATTCACTGGTATGGCAAATTGTTATACTATTTTGTTATAAACTTATATCGACAATTCGAAGGATATACTGCTTTGTCACTGTTCATCCTTCCTTACGTACCATGCATGACATCATCGTTGCATTTGTTCTGGAACTATAAATCATTGCTTCCTGGACCTTGGAAGTAAGCTTCGTTTGATTATGTTATACCATGGGAAACGTTTTCACATTCATCGCTAATCGACTTTCTTTCTGAATACTTATAAATTCGTACACATAACAATATGTTTCAAAGGAGAAGGAGTGAAAAAGACCACTTTTTGGTCCTTTTCAATTTGAAAAGCAAAAAGTATTTTACATCTGCAAAATAACACCATTCAGATGTTCAACGGTCATTAATCTGCCATGTATCAATATCAATATTTGTTTACTTTGTCTTAGATTTTTGCATAAGAGCTTCATAGTCCTTCAAAAATAACGCAAACCTGCAAAAAAACTACCAAATATAATCTCATTTTGAAATGTTGTTATTGCTATTTTGATTTTAGTGCTGGCTTAACCAAAAAGAATATTTAACAAAGATGTTTATGTGTGTTAAATAGTTTTGGTTAAGATATTGGCTCATATCTCATTTGCACAAAAACTATGAGTAATTGAACATTTCAAGTAGGTTAAATATGCCGAATTTCGACATGTTTATTGCATTGATGTTACATCGGTCAACAGTGATCCTTCTACACTTAAGTATCTAGATTATATATAATTTGTTCATTTATCAGTCAACACGAAATTGAAAGGTTTGAAAAATTACTGTTTTGCAATTTATGAAGCCAAACAATGACAGTTAACACATCTCCTCCGTTTTGTTTCTATTTTACTCGGGAACTACTATTCATAGCTTCGTGAAATCTTGTATCGTGCTCATTTGAACTTGGTATACTGTGTTTCACATTCATCACTCAACTTCCTGTTTACTGAATACTTGTAGTTGGGTTATCATAAGTGAGCAATTGCTATAAATTGTTTAATTTAAGTTATGTTTTAATCCAAAGCTATTCTAATTTCAGTATTATATCAAGGTTAATTGTATATTTTACAATTCCTGATAAACATACATGTAGATATATCTGAAAAATGCAACTACTTATTTGACTGAAGATCTAAGAAAACATCGTACAACAATGCAATATTATCGTGTCAAATTCGTTGGAAAAATAATTTAATTTAGGCATAAGAAATGAAATATATTGCTAAAATACAAATTTCTTCAACTAAGTTACTTTTCATCGCCTTTGTGAGGTATTGTAGGTTAGGTTCCAGTGTACATTTGCTTGTTTAATTCCAAGTTTTCATTTGATAAAATTTGCATTTAATCAACCTATTAATCAAATTTGCAGTATCAAAGAGGTGAAAGATACTAAGGAGACATTAAAAACTCATAAATCGAAGAAAAACTGATCAAATGGGACAATAGAATATAAAATTTTGAAATTAAATTCATGCTTGTATAACATTTCATCTTAAACATCATACTAGCTAGTTAACATTTTAATCCTATGTCAATATAGTTCTCGGCACATATGTAACTGAAATGTAAATAATAACAGTGCCAATATCATTGTCATGTAATGCATTTCAAAATAAATATAATTGAGATTTAATTGAGAAAAAAAATGATATTTAATTGAAATATAGTTAATTGCGTTTGACTCGAGGTCATAAATATTCACATGCGAGTGGGTGCATTGACTCGAAGAGGTTAATTTAATCTAAAATAAATGTCATACTGGTGGGAGGTTTACCGCATTATACAACCGTTTTATTCACCACTTCAATTTAAAGTGTCTGTACGAAGTCAAAATACTATTGCCAATTGTTCTGATGAGGTGTATTTGTAGAGGATTTTTATACAAATATCTAATATACATGAACATTGTTTCATAAACATTCTCTGATATTTAGTACATTCGATCGTTCATGCAGCTTTCCGTTATTTTCCAATGGGTTAAAAAACGAAATATCAAATTTTAAAAATAAAATGAGATAATAGTTTCATCTTGACAGAACTTGTGTGTCTGCTTTTTGTAAAGGTAGTTGAAACTTATATCAGTGGACATGTTTGGAAAGAAGTTTGATTTTTGGTAATTTCAAAAGAAACGTAACGTTCTCAAAGAATCAAACAGTAGTTAATAAGACAAAGAACTATTGTCAGAAAAAAAAGTCAGCTGAATTATTTATTGTATTTGGCAATTTTGAATAGAAAATTAACACGAGCTCAATTAATGTTAAAAGTTTATAACCACTATGTAGCATCACCACCGGATATAGGTACCCCAGAAGCGGTGGAAAAAACAAATGTGAAGTCAGGTAAGGTCAAATTCTTCTTATTGTTAATATATTCTACGTTTTGCTGACAAGTAAAGTTTTGTGATTGTGATTCCTAATAATGTAGCTAATATCTAAGACCTATTTGATCCTTAATTGGCTGTCTCTCTCTTCAAATCGTCAGAATCGGATAGGGTGGTACCTGTTCAACGAAGCATGTGACGAGTTCAAACTTGATAAAAACACATTTATTCTTCAACTATTGATTTGACGTTTTGGTAGAGTAAAGGCATATCACATTTAAGCTTGAACAACACTGTTTTCCGAAATAAACTATTTTTTATTCAGAGAAATTTATGTAAATAAAGAGGATAAACTGTACGGCGAATAGCGGCAAATTGTTGTTTATTGTACGGAGATTAGAATAGGTACTTTTTGCTATCATTGTTTCTCTGCTTCGGTGGTACCTATATCCGGTGGTGAGGCTACACAGTGATAACTTTATGTACAATATTAGATTCGTTGATTTTTATTAATCGTTATTTATCCTTTCATTATTCGAACCTTTTTCTGAGTTTGGTGTTCATCTTCTTCTATATAAACATTTAATGCATGTTCATATATCGAATATCCACCTACGGACCACTTGGGGTTATTGCTTGGGTTCTAATAACGTTCCCATTCCCAATGGATGTTTTTGCGTATTATGCACCCGCCCTTTGGGGACTACCATTTTCTTCTATATAAACATTTAATGCATGTTCAGGACAGGAGCAAGTAAACAATAAATCCACTACTAGTACATAGATTTTGAAAAGTCAAAAGGGGAGAAGGATGAGAAATTAAGATCGATCTTGGTAAAAGTATGCTGGATAGTGACATCAATTTAGCCAAGTAAATATCCACCTACGGACCACATGGAGTTGTTGTATGGGTTCTAGTAGCGTCCCCATTCCCTACGGATGTTCCTGTGCATTATACATCATCCCTTCCACACGTACGCATAAGGGGACAACCATTTCATTTTCGGGCGAGGGGTGGGCAGGAGGATTTTGAAAATGAATATCCTGGCTCAGTAGGAACTGAAAACAATAGAATAGCATAAGACAGTCTGAAAATGCATTGTCTGCAACACAAAATGCAGGATATATATAATGTACAAAAATGAAATAAATTTTCGCGCGACGCGGTTAAAAAATTAACTCGAGTAGCAACAGATGAAAGTCAATCCACAAAAAAATCTTTAAACTTTAAACATGTCCGCATCGTATTTTGTGTGAAGGCTTGGTTTCCACTCAAGTAAAAAAAATGAATAGTAAAACTATCTAACAAAGTTAATTCATTTATTTGTAATTGAAATTTTAAATCTGTGTTGTTCCTGATATTCAGTTTATAATTGATAGCACAGAAAGATGGAGTACGTATAAATGTGTCAATATTTGTCATCCTCCTTTTACATGCAAGAGTCAAATGAGCTGAGATGCGTGAAAACTATTCATTTGTCTACAAGAAGTAGTAAACAATTGGTACATTAAAATCCCAATCGCCTGTCAGAAAGTATTTCAAAATTGTTCATTTTACTTCAAACAATATCTTCTCTCCTGACAAATAAAAATGTATTGCATTTGAACAAGGAACATAACAATCTATTCAAAAATTGTATGAACAAAGTGATTACGGGCTTGACATATATAAAATACCATTATCGTTTGTTGAAGGCCGTTTTGTGTCCTCCTCAGTTCTTCTTAGTTGATCAGTTTCTTCTCTATTGAAGTCTATCTCATCTATCTTTTTATTAATATGCATACCTTTCTTCTTCCATATTTTACATATTGAGATTGAATTGTAAAGCGTAAAAATAAAACATTTTGATACATTGCAGAAACAAAGGAGTTTTTATCTAAAGCATAATGAACTTTCTATAAATGTTTTTTTTTTCTTGGAATTTTTTAAGAATTAAACTTTTGATTGAGTAAATGTTATCACTCTTCATTCTTACATTGCTGTCACAGAAGTTTGGAAACTCAAATAATCCGTCATTTTTATATTTTATAGATATTTGTAAATAGCTTATTTTGATATCAAATGAAATATTGGTAAATAATCGTTTTTGTTAATGATTGTCAAAAGAAGGCAAGACAGATTTGTAGAAACACAATACAAGTGATGCACGCGTATCAAAATATGTTTTCTCTATGGACGAGACCGGTCTAGTTCCGTTCAGAGTTCGACTTTTCAAAGTGTTTGCTCTATAAATCAACTGTTAATAAAGATTTGAATTTTTCAAAATCCTAAGAATTTTCTACGCCAGAAATAGATAACCTTAGCTGTATATAACCTTTCGGAATTTTGAGTCCTCAATGCTCTTCAACTTCATATTTCATTTTATTCGGGCGTCACTGATGAATGTTTTGTAGACAATACGCGCGTCATGCGTACAGAATTGTAATCCTGGTATCTATGATGAGTTTATTTACTACTGTTGCGTGTCATCTATAATTCGTAAACATAAACGTAATGTGTTGAGCTTTGTCAGTGACACGTTTTTATTTTGGAGACATAAAATGTCTCGGCAACTATAACATGACAATAACACATATATTTGGTGCGTCCAAAGCGTTTTCTTGATTTACCTAAATCAGTAACGGTCAAACCAAAAATGTGAAAAACAACTATGTATGAGTTCTTGAATAGGTTTACGCCTATTTTAAAAATTTGGCATTAACAAAAATAGTCTCATCAATCTTAATAGAACCAAGGGTGTAACATATGGAGCAGGATCAACTTAATCTTCCGTACTACATGAGATCACCCCGGAATTTTTGTGGGTTCGTGTCGCTCAGTATTTACTTTTCTATGTAGTGTTGTGTAAACTGTTGTTTGTCTTTTCGTCGTGTTACGACTTTTGTAATGGTTTTGATGTTTTTTCTTCGACTAACAATTGTACGTGTTCTGTGTTATCATCCGTCTCTTTTTTTCTTGAAACAGTTACAACCCTACATGTCTAAAAAACGTTTAAATCTATCAGAAAATGTATGTTAACGTTTTCGATTAAATAAAAATACTAGTATGGCAATAAATATAAAATAAGAAGAGATGGTATGCATATTCAGTCAAAGGATTGATTGATTTTAGGTCCAGTTTTTATTGATGGAGAAATCCGGAGAGCCCGGAGAGAACCATCGACTTTTGGCATAAAACTGGCAATCCTAGTCAATCAAGATTAAAGTCGAACACACCTGCCACATGCAGGGTGTGGACTCATAATCTCAAACCTAAGTCAAAGGAAAACAACGCTATAGTTAAAAGGGGAAACAGGAGAGAAACATCACTAACTCTCCCAAAACCGGTTGGAACTCAAATCCTGTAGAGGGTTTTATAGGTATTGTTCTAAAAGTGGCCTCAGTCTTGTTGTTCATAAAAGGTCAAAATCCAGTGACAAGTCGATTTTGATAATGAGTCATACACGTGGAAATGATGGGATCGAGACTAAGATAAATGAAACATTTTAGTGGTCATGTTTTACATATATATTATATTATGATAAAAAACAGAAATGTATTGCGGTCATATATTATAAAAGAGGGACTAAAGATACTAGAGGGACAGTCAAACTCATAGATCGAAAACAAACTGACAACGCCATGGCCAAAAATAAAAAGACAAACAGACAAATAATAGTACAGATGACACAACATAGAAAACTAAAAACTAAGCAACACGAACCACACCAAAAACTGGGGGTGATCTCAGGTGCTCCGGAAGGGTAAGCAGATCCTGCTCCACATATAAGTTATATGGTTTGCTACGGATCCATAGAGTGTTAGTAAAATCCATAGAGGATTCGGCTGAACACATATGATCCATAGAGGGTTAGTTAAATTCATAGGAATCATCCGTAGTGGATCACACTAGTAGCAATATTTGAGTCTGAAACGGTCATTTTGGTCTGATCAAGTCTTAATCGACTGGATTTACTGCTAGAGAAAAACGTCAAGACTTTTTCAGACTTTCAGACGCTGTCACGATATACCGTGTTAAGTCCGTTCAGTCATGTCAAGATAAACAAGACAGATTGTTCTTGCATCCGATTAAGACTTGATCAGACCATGTTCAGATCAAATCAGACTAAAGGTAAAAATGCTGTTTAGACTTTGTAAGATCGTGTTCAGTCGTGTTAAGATTTTAAATATTCGGATGCAAAACGGGCGACACTTTCTCTGTGTTTATTAGGGGTTGTTTCCCTTTCGTGAATAAAATCGGAAAAGAATGGAGGGTATTCTTTTGTGGTCTTTTAATGTTATGTTGTATGTCTATTAATTAAATAACGTTTGCAAAGTTGCAATTCATTTTTTCCGATGATATTTCACGTACACATTTAATTGGTTATATAAGAAAAGAATAATTGTTGTAACCGGAAAAGTGTGCAAGTCATAAAAACTTTGCAGTCGTTCTTTCTTGCATTAAGTAATTTAGTATTTATTCGTTCCGTCTGTAAAGATATAATGATTAGTAATAAATATCAAAAATGTTCTTAAACACATTTTCGTCTGTGATTTAAAATAATTGTTCTTACCCATATAAAATTAGTCAAGGAAAATATATTCTGAGTATCTTATTTACTTTATATTTTTCTAATTTTTGACAGATGACAGATGTTTGGTGAAAGTTATTTACATTTTAATATACGGATTATCTGAGCATTCAACCGAAACGGACTGTCAAACACTATCTTAATAATTATAAATACCCGTGCAACGCTGTGACTGTTTTATTCATGGAAGTTATGTGAAATATGTTGCCATGTTTTATCATATATAAGGATACACCGGATAAAATTATTACATTTACAAATTATACAACATTATTTCAAAATAAATGCAACAAGAATGCAAGCATATTTCAAAAATCTAGGTAACAGTTTATATTTAGTATAGGTACCT